TTTTCTATGTGCACCCCGAGATCCTACACGAGATGTTGCTATAGTATCTTTTCTATTTTTCTCGATCAGAGATCAGGTTTGTGTCGTCCACCGCTTGTTGACCTCGCGTATACTACTCCAGCATCGGCATCGACTTCACCGGCATCTACATCTTTGACTCTGTGGCCTGGCCAGAGCTTGTGATGCTAAGGGGACACCTTCCCACGTCATTTCTTGGTCATTCAGCCCGCACGTCTACATCATCGGTTTGTCATCGCCACCATAGATCAGGACACCTCTACCGACTTCTTCCATTGTCACTAAACCTTGCGCGTACTCGGTCCGTACAACCGATTATGTGTGACCCACCCGGCTCCTATGATGTCCACCGCCGAGTTCTAGGCTCATCTTCTCCGAGAAACAGGGCTACTAGCTTGCTACTGTGTCACCTCACCGAGCCATAGGACCGCCGCCCATGTCTATTTTTCCATCCCATGTGCATCGACGGCTGTGCTACACAATCTTTGTTGTGCCATCAATATGCACAAGGTGATCGTCCTGCTAATCGGGTCTTCATCATCAAGACACCGCTACCCGTGCCGTCGCTGAGCCCTGCTCGCCGACTGCCCCCTCGCGTTGTCGCTGATATGTCTGCTCCTGCACTGCTTCTTCATCTAGCACAATCACACCGTCAATGTCACCATCTTGTCCCTACCTACTTCGTCTACTCTGACAACTGCATGCTGCGCCTTCTACCATACTACTTTGCGCACCGCAACCATCATCGAGACCTTCTCTGTTAGTCTCTTAGATGCTAATGCATGGTTGGGGCCCTCTACCATGTATGTTCGGTATTGGCAACACCGGTGCACACATTTTTCCCTGACGCGTTGCTGGGTCTCGCAAACCCAGCCCATGCCTTGACTCAGACGGCTTGACTACATCAACTTTGGCATCGACCCTTCCATTCCCACCTCATCTACCTTGATTGTGTCGTTGCCTTTCATCTACATCTGACGGCCTTGACTGCATCGACTTCGGCATCGTCCCTTCCATGACGACTGCCTCGATGCATCTCCGTCATCACCATGGCACCTCTTGTGCACCTGCAGCTCCACCACCATGGCAACACGACCACAACTACGTTGACCTTGGCTAACTTCAGCACAGTTTCTTCGAACACAACAACTATGCCCTTTATCTTGGCTACCTCGACATCAGCACAAAGGGCTATCATCTGCATGAGTCCTTGTGTTGGTTTCTCTCTGGTCCTAGTATTTGCACTACACCAAGTTGTGACTGTAGGGGGATGTTCGTTGACTTCTTCTCCAGTCTCACCATCTACGGCGCTTCCGCTGTGACTGCGACGGATGTTAGACTATATTTAGTACTCACTATAGATAGGCTAGTTCTCAACCATTGGCTCCTAACTATAATCCTATGACTGATTTAGTGATCCCCTAGCATGTAGGCATGCAAGTGCTTCCGTACTCTATGAAAGGACCGCTTCGATGCCTAGAGGAGGGGTGAATAGGCTCTACAAACTTTTAAGACAATAGTTAGCACTTAAAATCATCACATTGCAGACAAACGCGGTTAGACTGGGATAGGAACTCGATCAGGCCGACTCTAGGTCAAACCTTGATCAAAACCCGGTCAGACCTGGATTGTCGGTACTTCCGGTAGCTATCAGAAGTTTTGACACTTCTGTGCCCAAAAGTGCTTCGAGCCTTTTGCCCCTTCTATGTAGATGCAACTTGGAGTATGGCAATGCTTATAGATATGTGTACACTTTCAAACAACTCCTGCAAACACAAATCACCACACCCGAGTAGCACAAGCGGAATCACAAATAATATATGCAATGTAAACAACTGTGTGGCAAACCAAAGGGGAGAAGCGAGGATTTGTTTGACAAGTGTTTGGGCCATCCCGAGGTGCCCTACGTTTCTATTGTGGAAGTGGGTGAGTGACCCAACAAGGTCTTCTCTTGGCCAGGCCCTAAACGACCTCTTTCCACCTTTTCACTAAGGAGCCTTCTTTCCCCTTTCAGTAGGAACACCAATCCTTCTTACAAGACCACCGCATCAGCCCATGCATCCTTGGGTGCTTGTTGGTGACTCTTTGCCTCCTAGGAGCAAAGCTCCAAGAGAAATAAACACAATGAACCAGAATTCTTCGACTTGCTCAAGTGCTAAAAATGGAACAGCTCACACAATGTCTCTCAAGCTTTATAATGCAACCAAGGCAAACTCACAAAGGTTGGCTCACTCTCTAATCAAATATTATGAAAGTTGGGAGCTACAACACTCACAAAGAGGAAGAGAGGAGTGGCCAAGTGCTTCTGGTCATGGATGGAAGTGAGGAAAACTAGCAGCAACAAAAGGAGGGGGAGAGGTATAAATAGCCACCAAAGACAAACTAGCTGTTGGGTTGAGCAGCAAACCCGGTCTGACCAGGATGAGAACCCGGTCTGCCCAGGATGAGAACCCAGTCTGACCAGGATTCAAACTAAACTAGTTGTTGGGCTAAAGTCGGTCTGACCAGGATAAAACCTAGTCTGACCTACTCCTGGCTTGACCGGCATGCCATCCAGGTATGACTGGGTTTGGTTGACTGGCTAGGGATTTGAGGTTTTCTCTCACTCTTTCTTTCTCTCAATTCTTTTCTTACATAGGATTACTTGAGAATTATTTTTTCTTGTCTAAAACTTAGTGATGCATCCCTCTTGAGTGTGGCAAAACTCAACTCAAATAAATATAATAAAAAGATTTTTACCACCAATTGAGCTTTTCTTCGTCTAGACTTGATTGCCACTTTGATTAAGCAATGTTGAGGGTCTTCATTACTTCAACTTCTTGAGCTTGTCCATCTTGAGCATGTGATTTGTGTCGAAGGTTTCAAATCACTGTGAACATTTGATTTGATCTTCCACATTGACAAACACCACTTGATTAGTGCCTCAACTAAATGCAAGTAAGTTCCTTCTTCACTTTTAGCTAGGTCCATTGGCCGCCAAACCGTCGTTTGCCCTTCACCTTTCACTTAGTACCTCAAAGAGATTTGCTTGCTACCTTCACCTTCTCAAGATTAACATGTCTTGTCAATGCTTCTAACCATGATTTGAACACCATTTCATTTGCATTGTTGTCTTGTGCTTGAAATAGATTGTTTCCAATAATCCTCACAATCTTGATAACTATCTTTGATATTTGTTCTTGCAAGCTTTATAGTTGAGACCATTCCATATGCAATCATTTATGTCTCATTTATTTGATATCACACTTGATTGCAAAACTTTGCTTCACAATAAATCTTGAACTCAAATTGACATTTATATGATCACCGCACATTATATGATTCCAACACATAATAAACAACCTTGGACTAAGTGCCTGCAAGTCTCATAAATAATATTAGTCCCTTAATCGTGTTGCCACTCAATGCGCCAAAACCCACAAGGGCCCAAATGTACTATCACTCTATATTTACCGGCCAAGGGTACCAATGCAATACCATCCATCTATTCACACCCAATCTTCCCTTTTTACAATAATGTATGACCAAATTAAACTGTCAAAACATTGACGGGGAATAGCAATGCTCAACAACTTTGTCAGACCAACGGTTTGTTCGGATGAGTTAGGACTAGTTATTAGTTGGGGTTAAAAAAATAACCTAAATTAGCTAAGATTGGCTAGCTAGTTGGCTAACAACTAGTTGAAGGCATGACTAATAAATTATCCCACCTATTAGCCCCTTGTTTGGATGAGCTAGGATTAATTTTAACTAATTTTTAGCTGGCTAACAATTAACCCTTAGTATCCTAACAGACCCCAAATATTCATATTTCGCGGTTGTGTGAATTGGACATTGCTTAGAGTTTATTTGACCATAGTAGACTTGCCTTATTTTTATACCCTTTTCAAGAACTTAACGTCGTCTTTGAATCATGTGAGATTCTTGTTCCAACAAGTAACCACCTTACATTAGCTGTACTAATATCTTAACATCACCAACATACAATAATTAACACCTAGAAACATAGGCAATTTTGTCTGGTCCTGTTCTTTCTGATCTAGTGAGCTTCAATCATGCACCAACTATGTAGTATTTTTATACCCTTTTCAAGAACTTAACGTCATCTTTGAATCATGTGAGATGCTTGTTCCAACAAGTAACCACCTTACATTAGTTGTACTAATATCTTAACATCACCAACATACAATAATTAACACCTAGAAACATAGGCAATTTTGTCTGGTCCTGTTCTTTCTGATCTAGTGAGCTTCAATCATGCACCAACTATGTAGTAGTTGTATAAGATTTCACAAGATGCATGGCTAAAATAGTGCTTTTAACAATGGTGCATGCAACATGTCATGATGCTGATGCGTGAAATGTGTTATGTGGAGGTTGCTGGTGTTCTTGGAAAGCATGGCAACTGAGTTCTCTTGGTTGGTGTTCCATGAAATATGTTAGTGCGAGACCCCGGGTACATTGGCATTTTAGATTGCATGTTTGTGGAAGAGTGGCTTGGCCTGTTCAATAATGAAATTCTCTGGGTGGACTGCAATAGATGCTCTAAAGGTATCTTGGTGGTTACATGACTGATCATAGGGTGTTGCACAGCTGTCTTTCAGTTCAAAACTTGTTGTTCATGTTTTCATTAACAATTAAATTCTAGTTATTCTGAGGCATTTGCTTGTCTGGTTTCTGCGCGGTAAGCTTGTTCCATTCTATATGCACTTCAGTTTCAATGAAACGTAACTGAAGTACATGCATATATGGCCTTTGGTATTTGTGCAAGGGATCCTAGCTTAAAAAAACTAGACTTACTGCATTGATATCTCAGGCTCAAATAAAATACCAGTACATTATATAGTTAGAGAACTAAGAGGGCCATATATAAAAACACTAGACTGGAGGAGTAGCAATTGCTTCGGGTTTTGCTGGTGAGTCAACATGCATTCATATCTCGGGCTCAAATATATAGTTGAACAAAGAGGGACATACAAACACTAGACTGAAGGAGTATCAATTGCTTGGGGATTTGTCCTCTGACCATTCCTGTTTCTGATGATGCCAGCCAGGAGGAGATGGAATCCCATGTAGCCCAGCACGCCTACAACCAGCAGCAACACATACACAGATGTCTTCCACCGCCTGCTTGAGCCGGCTGCGTAGGCACCCAGGAGGCCAAGCAGATCCAGCACAATTGTAGTGTTCATCACCACAAGCCACCTCCTGTGCCATGTCTTATCGTCAAATAGCTTCTTCGGTACCAGGAGGAGAAGGATGACCACAATGGACGCCATGAACGAAGTGGAGTTGCTGTAGAAGAAAGCCAGGTACCGGGGCCTCCTGTTGTCGTGCATCACTGGGTCACTACTAGAGAACAGACTTTAGAACGATGTCCCAATTTAGCATTAGCCTCGGCATTTTTTGCCCCCGGGACTAAAGGACCCTTTAGTCCCGGTTGGTAATACCAACCGGGACTAAAGGTCCCTGCCCAACGGTCGTCCGCGGGGCAGGGATCTTTAGTCCCGGCTGGTATTACCAACCGGGACTAAAGGTTTACCTTTAGTCCCGGTTGGTAATACCAGCCGGGACTAAAGCTTTTAGTCCCGGTTTGGGTTATGCCCCGGGAATAAAGATTAATATTTAGTCCCGGTTTGGACCCCTAACCGGGACTAATTATCCCGGCCTATAATTCTGCTCAATTCTTCCTCCCCGAGCCCGAGCCATTCCATTATTCAAACTCACTGCCTCTGTTCTTCAGCTTGCTGTTGTTCTTGCACTCTCCCCCTCCATTGGTGTTGCTCTTCGATTTTGGAGGTAACAAACTTAATCCTCTTATGTTTTATCAGTAGCTTATCTCATTTTGCGATGTAGATGCATGTGTAACTTTATATGTTGGACTTTATTATGATTTTATATGTCATTTTTAGCTCAAAATCACATGATGATTTGCATATATGTTTGGATAAACAAAAGTTAAATTAGTTCATCAAAATCACGCCTCGCTTTCGTCCTCATTTGGAGCACGCGCCATTCTCGTCCCCGGTGGCTTACGTGATCTTAGAATTAATTTTTCCATGAAATGAAAAACTTAGAAAATTGTTAGAAAATTGTAGAAAATCCGCACTAGTTGAACTTGCGGACCGTGTTCATGTCGGCGAGCATGTTCTCTCGCCGAAGCGGTAGCGGACGTCAAGGAGGAGCTTTGATTCTCGAGGAGAGCGGCAACGGTCGTGGAAGACCGTGTTCCCTTTCTCGTAGAATCGGAGCTCTTCCTTGGCCAAAATACGGTGCCGTCCGGTGGAGAAATGCTCGTCGAGATGATCACGTAAGCAAGGTCAACTAGTACGGATGGTTATTTATTGAAACATGTTTTTGAGCTATAATTTGATGAATATTTGAAAATATGAAATTTACACTAGTTTGCAAAAATAAGTATAGAAAGTAGATGACAATCATTATTTGGATCCTCGGCCTCTCGTTCGGTTTGAAACGATCGAGGCCGAACTCCCTCTCATTATCTCGGCAAGTGTAAGCGTAAGATTGTGATGGAGTACCGAGTCAAGAGACAGGGACCCAACAAGGGTCGTGTTTTCTACAAGTGCCCTTGATCGCGATGTGAGTTTCTTACGCATTTTATAATTATGGCTAATTGACCTGCTTTTCTTGAATATTTTGACTAAATATTTTTTGGCTTTAATTTCAGTGGGAGGGCAATGGATGCGATGGTTGGTACTGGGAGGAAGATTATGCTACATACGTGCGAGAATTTGGGTGCGCTTGAGGTAGCGGATGTCACTTGATGAGGCGAAGAGCCAGCAGGAGAAGCTTATTGATATTCAATGTAAGAATGATTTGTCTGCTTTTTGAATGCGTATTTATCACAAAATAATTATGTTACTTGAAGTGCATTGTAGTTTTAGTTTGTTTAGTGATAGTTGGGATTGCTTACGTTGTAGCCGAGCTTAGTTAATTAATCAACCGTGTGTGTGTCATTTATGTTGTGTAATAAAATACTTAATTATGTTCAAGGTTTTCATAATTTGTCGTGTAATACTGATTATGTCACGCCATTGGATGTACAATGCCGATCGTCGCTCCCAAGACTTTATAGAGGGCTTGCACTATTTCTTAGGTGTGGCCGAGGCAAATAAGCGGGATGGTTTCATATGTCATCCATGTGCCCTATGTAAGAATTTAAAGGAATATTCAAGCTCAATGAGTCTTCATTCACATTTGCTTAAGTCGGGTTTCATGTCAAACTATATATGTTGGACTAAGCATGGAGAAAGCGGGGTCATGATGGAAGAAGGTGAAGGAGAAGATTTAGACATTGATGACATTATTGCTCAAGATGGTGCCTTTGATGATACTACAATGGGGGAGATGAAGAAGAGGTAGCGGTAGAAGATGATCTCGGTGATGCTCTTGGCGATGCCATTCGTGATGCACAATAAGAATGGGAAAGTGAAAAGAGAAAGTTAAGTTGGAGCGCATGCTTGAGGATCATAGGAAGTTGCTATACCCGATGGTCAAGAGGGGCAAAAAAAATCGGGTACAACACTCGGAATTGCTACAAAGGAAGGTAAAGAATGGTGTATCCGATAAGGCATTTGGGAATTTATTAAACCTCATAAAGAAGATGCTTCCGGCCAAATGAATTGCCCACCACTACGTCTGCGAAGCAAAAAAGGTTGTCTCGCCTTTTGGGATTAAAAATCCGTAAGATACATGCATGTCCTAATGATCGTATCCTCTACCATGGCAATGAATACGAGAATTTGGATGAATGCCCGGTATGTAAAGCATCGCGGTATAAGATCAAAGCGCGATGATCCCGGTGACGCCGAGGGTGAACAACGTCCTAGAAAGAAAATCCCCGCCAAGGTTATGTGGTATGCTCCTATAATACCACGCTTAAAACGTTGTTCAGAATAAAGACCACGCAAAGTTGTTGCGGTGGTATAAAGAAGACCGTAAGGTAGACAATATCTTTGAGACACCCAAATGATGGGTCCCAAAGGAGAGCGATAGATAGAGAATTTTCGAGTTTGCAAATGAGGTTAGAAACTTAAGGTTCGCCTTAAGTGCATGGTATGAATCCTTTTGGACAGCAGAGCACTAGTCATAGCACTTGGCCGCCACTCTATGTATCTACAACCTTCCTCCATGGTTATGCATGAAGCGGAAGTTCATTATGATGCCGATCCTCATCCAAGGTCCGAGGCAACCTGGCAACGATATTGATGTATATCTGAAGCCATTAGTTGAAGAACTTCTAGTTTTATGGAACAAACCAGGTGTACGTGTCTGGGATGAGTACAAACAAGAACACTTTGAACTTAGGAGCAATGTTGTTCGTAACCATCAATGATTGGCCTGCTTTAAGTAATCTTTCGGTCAGACAAACAAAGGATATAATGCATGCACACATTGTTTTGATGACCTTGACAGTATATATTTGAAAAGATGTCGAAAGGTCGTGTACCTTGGCCATCGTCGATTCCTTCCTTTGAACCACCAAGTAAGAAAGAAAGGGAAGCATTTTAAAGGTAAGCGAGACCACCGGAAGAAGCCTCATAACCGAACCGGGGAAGATGTACTCGCAATGGTCAAGGATGTGAAAGTAGTATTTGGAAAGGGACAAGGCAGTGAATCTGTTCCCAAAGATGCTAATGGACATGCACCCATGTGGAAGAAGAAGTCCATCTTTTGGGAGCTACCCTATTGGCAAGTCCTAGAGGTCCGCAACGCAATCGACGTGATGCACCTGACAAAGAATCTTTGTGTGAACCTGTTAGGATTCATGGGTGTGTACGGGGAAGCCAAAGGATTCACTTGAAGCACGCCAGACTTGCAATGGTATGAAAGAACGAGACAACCTTCATCCGAGAAGACAGTGATGGACGTCATTACTTAAGTCCCGCTAGCTACACACTTAGCAAAGAAGAGAGGGACAGCATGTTCGAATGTCTAAGCAGCATCAAGGTCCCATCGGGATTCTCCTCCAATATAAAGGGTATAATAAATGTGCGGATAAAAATTCCTAAACTTAAAGTCCCACGATCGCCACGTGCTTATGACGCAATTGCTTCCAGTTGCTTTAAGAGGAATTCTACCTCCACATGTACGTCTAGCCACCGTGAAGCTATGTGCATTTCTCAATGCAATTTCTCGTAAGGCAATCAATCCAAAGGAACTAGCTACTCTGAGCTGTAACGATGTGGTTCAATGTCTTGTCGACTTTGAGTTGGTGTTCCCTCCATCCTTCTTTAATATCATGACACACATCCTAGTTCATTTGGTGAAGGAGATTAGTATTCTTGGACCTGTGTTCTTACATAACATGTTCCCCTTCGAGAGGTTTATGGGAGTCTTGAAGAAATATGTGAAAGTCCGTTCTAAGCTCCTGAAGGAAGCATCGCCTGTACTATGGGAACAGAGGAGGTCATTGAGTTCTGTGTTGACTTTATTCCCGACATTGTTCGATTGGCGTTCCCGAATCACGACATGAGGGGAGACTCGATGGTAAAGGAACTTTAGGGAAGAAAACATATATTGGCATGGAAGACGATTATTTCAATAAAGCACACTACACAGCTTCTTCGTAACTCGTCATTGGTGCATCCGCACATCGAGATACATAAGGAGTTCTTACGATCCAAGTTTCCGGGAAGACCGAAGCTTGGATTAGGCGTCGAACATGAAAAGTTTCGATGGTTGGTTGCGAAAAGAATGTCAAGGCGATGACAATATTGATGAGCAATCAGTATTTGTTGGCTAGGCAGCCATCGTGGCATATCCCTCATGTACCAAGGGTACGAGATAAATGGGAATACATTTTACACAGTTGCCCAAGATAAAAGGAGCACCAATCAAAATAGTGGTGTTCGCATAGATGGCACAGATCCAAATGGGAATATACAAACATATTATGGCCGCATAGAAGAGATATATGGGAACTAGACTACGCACCTAATTTTAAAAGTCCCTTTGTTCCGGTGCCAATGGGTGAAGCTGACCGAGGAGGGTAACAATCGACAAAGAGTATGGAATGACAACAAAGGACCTCAACAATATTGGATACAAAGAGGAACCATTCGTCCTTCTTTGCCGATGTGAGTCGGTGTTCTATGTGAAAGACATGTCTACAAAATCAAAGAGAGGAAAAAACGAAGACATCAACTCAATGATCAATGAGCCAAAGCGCCACATAATTCTTTCTGGGAAAATAAATATAGTAGGAATTGAAGACAAGTCAGACATGTCCGAAGATTACGAAAGAAATGTCCGAATTCCACCCTTCATAGTGA